CTCTTTTTGTCCTGATCCATTTATATAAAAACCTGTCTGAAAATGAGCTGATCAGATTTTGGCCACTTTATGATGTCATAACGATGTTTTGGCTTGTGTAGCCATTAGCCAATCAGCAACCAAGTTAACCCCCCCCCTTCCTCATCACCTGAATCTCCTCCTAGAGCAGGGGTTCCCAAAGTGGGGGTCGCGAGATGATTACAAAATAAAAATGAAAAAAAAAAAAAAATTGATTTAATTTATTTTAATTAATTTTTTAATTTTTTAATTATTTTTTAATTATTATTAATAATAACGTTTGCATAGACATCAGGGGCGGACTAGCCATCTGTATAATTTCCCCGCAACGAGGCTCCCCCTTTGACAATCCACTAGCGCAGTGTTTGTGCGGAAAACTGAAATTAATTCACTAGCACACCCCCAAATGTGGGTGTAGTTCCTTTATAGCCCAACATTAGCCGCCTTTAGCTTAGCGGTGGTGACGTGAAGTCATGTGACCATGCTGTAGTTCCTTTATAGCCCAACATTAGCCGCCTTTAGCTTAGCGGTGGTGACGTGAAGTCATGTGACCGTGCTGTAGTTCCTTTATAGCCCAACGTTAGCTTTTTACTCCTCAAGATTACATGTACACTTACAAATGTGTTATATGTGGAGATATCCTGCTGAACACAACATGAACGTCTTTCTGATTTTGTGTCTCTTTCTCTGTAGACTCATCAATGTCCTCCAGCCTGGCTCTGTGAGAAAGATCAGCCAATCCACTCAGAACTGGCACCAGGTAATGTTTGAGCTCTGAGGAGAGAAAAGATTCCTTATTGGTCCGGCGAGTGTCAAAAAGTCAGGGCTGTTTTCCAGAGCATGTGGAACTTTATTTAGTCTGCCGTGTTGACGTTGATTGACGTTTCCATAAAGTAGCTGCTTTATCAAATGAAGCAAATCTCTGCATGGCTTTTAATGAAGAAAAGTAAACAGTGCTCCTTTAGAGCTTAATTGAAGGTAATTGAAGTGTCCTTCCCTAAAACACCCATTTTTGCTATTTTTTTGTATCTTGATTACTGTATAATCTCAGATAATATATATTTCTTTTCACCTGCATTCGTGATTTATTTTTTTGTAAATATTTCCCCCTTCCCAGGTGCGGTAACTCATTTTAGATTGTACCTTTTAATGGTCCTAATATATTTTTTACATTGTGTTGTTATTATTTATCATAAGATATCATGTGACAGCATATCAGGCTTTTTTTTTTACAGAGCAAGAACTGTGGTAACATCCGGAAAGAAACGTCATGAATTTACAATTATTTTTTTCTTTCTCACTAATTTACGACATTTATGGGTTTTTTTCCTGGTGATTTTTGTAGATTTCTTCTTCAAATTTGTATTATTTTCACTCGAAATATTCTGCCCTTTCCAGTCCTGTAACTTATTTTTATTTGTACCTACAACAGGCCAAAGACATCGTCATACAGGCTAGCTATTTCCAGTCTAAACGGCTCTTATTGTTAGCCTCATTTTGATCAAATACAAAATGAAGTATTTCTAACTCTCAGCAGAAAAGAGTGTAAAGAGAAGGAGTGGAACAACTACTTGAGATCGCAGAATAGACGCTTCCATTGTCCTCTTTCTCCTCAGCTGGAAAACATCGGGAACTTTGTGCGTGCGATCACAGAATACGGCTTGAGGCCGGACGACATCTTTGAAGCCAACGATCTGTTCGAGAACACCAACTACACTCAGGTCCAGAGCACCCTGCTGGCTCTGACAGGCATGGTGAGGACACACACACACACACACACACACACACACACACACACACACACACACACACACACACACACACACACACACACATTCTACCTTTGTATTGCATACTACTACAAGCGCTGTCAGTAGAATAATAAAACCAATGTGTATAAAATGCTCTGTTTCCATCGTTTCCCTCTCTGTCTCTCTCAGGCCAAGTCCAAAGGCTTCCACTCTAAATATGATTTAGGAGTGAAGTACGCGGAGAAGCACCAGCGCCGCTTCGCTCCGGAGAAACTGAAGGAGGGACGCAACGTCATCGGCCTGCAGGTCAGAGACAAGAGAGAACATTCAGTCATGTACCATGCTGCAGTGTTAGCCTTTTGGGAGGACAAAGTGTTAGAAAGGTCTCCCTGGTCCCCGGCTTGAGCTTCAATCTCAGGATCCATGTATCTGTGATCCTCTCCAGAATGGAAGTATGCCTACTTCCATTCTGGAGAGGATCACAGATACATGGATCCTGAGATTGAAGCTCAAGCCGGGGACCAGGGAGACCTTTCTAACACTTTGTCCTCCCAAAAGGNTTTATTTGGCTTTTCTTTTACTTGCAATTATTTGCCGTAGACTTCTGCTTTCAGGCGTAGTTAATTATGAAGTTATTACCCTATCCGATAATAATCCAATGCAGAGGCAATAATGTAATATAATACATTATTTTATATATATTAAATATTTATATATGTATTTTTTATAGTCTTAAAGTTACAACCGGCCCTTTGAGTGCAACCATAATGCTGATGTGGCCCGTGATGACATTGAGTTTGACACCCCTGCTCTTCGTAGATAGCAACTAACAGATACAACCTTCACCATATTACAAATTACATGCGAGAAATAAATTGATGTGTAATACGTAATTTAATTAAAGTTTATTAACATCAATCCATCTAGGGTGGGATTCGTAAAACTATAACCGCCTCAAAGTAATATCATGGTAAAGATATTTGTATTATGAGTAACTTTTGCCGACTTTCCAAATCGTTGTTCTTCTGTCTCATTTGGGCGTTCACATGAGATTTCACAGAACATACGACACTATATGAACATTACAGTCGGATTGTGTTTGGTCCCGTGTGTTTGTATCTTTTTTTTAGCAATATCGTAATGTTTGTGAAATGAGACAATAAAGAAAGTCAGGTTTAAGGCAGAGAAACACATTTTTGAAATACCTCATCCTTAACGTTTACTCTTCAGATCTTTCCGAAGCGGTGGACGTTTACAGTGATTGGATTGACGCTTGTGAAGCAGCCAATCAATAGTCCCGATTTCCTTTTTACCCCATTTATCCTTTTACTCCTGTCCATTAATTAGCTTAGCACGATGTAGCAAAATCAAACAATTGAAGCGTTATTTTATTTTGCTTTGTTTGGCCAATTTTGCTACAGTGTGGCTGAGCATCACACGTCCCTCTGGCTGGGACAGAGGGCCGCCATTTTGTGTTATAGTTTTCATACGTCAATGATTAGATTAGGAAGAAATATGTTTTTTAACTATTAGATTGCGATTTTTCCCTTTTTCTGGACTGAAAATGTATGTTTTAAATGTAAATGACTGAAATTCCCTCCAGCGTAAAACATTCCACGTATTTGTTTTTATTATTTTAGTTGTTGTAATAAGTATGTTTATGAAACAGAATTGTGTTGTGAAAGTATTTTTTTTAGTTTTCAACCCCGTTAAAGGCCAAATCTTTACCAAGCTTTTGTGTTTTTACCTGTTTATAAGTACATACATCACTATCTCATATACTTTGTATTCCACTACGTTCTGTGTATTTTTAGGTAATGTATTTTTAAGAAAATGTCATCAAAACTGTTTTCAAGTGTTTTTTATTGCACAAATGTCATGTTTAGTGAAACGCGTACAAGTCGAAAATTCAAGAAGTTAGAAAAAGTGTAACATTTAAACAACGTTGAAACAAAGCCATCACATTAAGGTGAAATGTTACTAGAAAGTTACTTAGCATTTTGGACAGAACTAAAAACAACATTCGAGGGAACAAAGGGAATGTTTGATAAATAAAAAATACAGTAAGTGTACATGTGCGTTTCCTCCACTAGAGGGCAAACTTTGATGCTGAATTCAAGAACCCTAATCTACATTTTCTGACACTATTTCAAAGCCAATAAATGTAAATATTTCATATTAAACTGCTTTATGTTGTTCCTCTAGATCACAAGTGCCTCAGCCTTATCAGTCACTTTGTAAATGCACTTTTCTTTTACTTCTAATGGGTTGAAAATGAACCCCGTAACAGCTAGTGTCAAACTTTTCGATTACATTACATTCATGACATTCGGTGGGTTAACAGTTTTTATATTGGGCATGATTCCCTTTGCAATTAAAAGATACTTTACTTGAGTACAAGTAGCAATACCCTAATGGAAAAATACCACATTATAAGACCTGCCTTTAAGATGTTGCTCAGGAAAAAGTAGGTAGAAATACTGCCCAAGAAAAATTGCCATAGTGAGTTTAATACGACAATATTGTTACCTATACTTACAACTTATTTAATTACTTCAATTGTAAAGTAACTATAACTAACTTAGATATTGGAGTCAAAAATACAACTTGGCATGATAGGATTAAAGTCAGTGGAATCGCAAATGCTAAATTATTGCACATTTCATTCTGATTGGCATTAAAACAAGTCTTAAATCTAACTTTTCTTAAACTGTAAGAACCCTGAATATATGTGGCTATCGATATGGCAGTGTAGTAGAAGTATAAAAGGTAAATACTCAAGTAAAGTACCTCAAATTTAAGTACAATATCTGATCAAATGTACTTGTTTAATTTAATGTGAAGAAGGGTAAAGTGCGCAAGGAGCAACAGCACTAAAGTTGACTGAGGCAAATTCAGAAAAAGATGGAGGAAACAAAAGGACAAAATCTACTAGTAGTGACTAACCCAACTTCAAACTATATTTCATAACACCTACTTTTGCTCTTTCACTTTATAAAAGCATTGTCCCGTTATCAAACTGCACACAAAGCCATGGAAATTATCCCCGTTAAAAAAAAAAAAAAGGCGTGATCTGGCAGGCCTGTGAACATGACAGAAAACAAAAAAGAAAGCTACGATTCCTCCAGGTCAATCTGCGGACCCCGAAAAATGTGTAAAAAAAAATCCCCGCGGAGCTCCAATGTCGACGAGGACTCGGTTCCAACGGGGTCAAAGTTCAATAGCACCAACTCGGTCGCTTGTTTCCTCTTCAAGGAGCTTTGAATTCTCAACACTTGATTGGGAAAGGTAGTTTGTAAATGTCGAATAGAACGATGCAGGGATGAGGAATTTTGTAGGCCAAACAGGAAGTTAGCATAGCAAAGGGCTACCTCGATGAAAAGCCAATGGGATTTTTCTATTGGATTTGGCAGGAAATAAGATCTGTAGCCAACAATCGTTTATGTTGTTCAGCAGGATAACCTCCACACATTAACACAACTTTAAGATTTTTGAAGTAAAAAGCTAACGTTAGGCTATAAAGGAACTACAGCAAGGTCACATGACTTCACGTCCCACCGCTAAGCTAAAGGCGGCTAATGTTGGGCTATAAAGGAACTACAGCAAGGTCACATGACTTCACGTCCCACCGCTAAGCTAAAGGCGGCTAATGTTGGGCTATAAAGGAACTACAGCAAGGTCACATGACTTCACGTCCCACCGCTAAGCTAAAGGGGGCTAATGTTAAGCTATAAAGGAACTACAGCAAGGTCACATGACTTCACGTCCCACCGCTAAGCTAAAGGCGGCTAATGTTAAGCTATAAAGGAACTACAGCAAGGTAACATGACTTCACGTCCCACCGCTAAGCTAAAGGCGGCTAATGTTGGGCTATAAAGGAACTACAGCACGGTCACATGACTTCACGTCCCACCGCTAAGCTAAAGGCGGCTAATGTTGGACGTGATGACGTTTATTTGTCTCATTTAGTCACAAACGTATTTAAAACACTTTGTGACGTTCACCAGTGGGGTGTTTTTTATTTTACTGACATATTTGATGTCGTCTAACAAAATGTGAAAGTACGGCAATGCTAACTCACTTCCGGGTTTTAGGACTCATTCCTGCACCACTCTCTTACAAAGCAAGTAAAAAAGCGAAAAATATAAATAGCACAAATCTGAGTGTGGCTTGTTTTTTTTGTTTTGTGGTAATAAAAATCCTCATAGATACGGAAATCTTTGACGTAAGGGTCAGTGAAAACGCTGTTTTTTCTTTAACTCAGGAAAGACAAATTCATAAAGCTTTAGGGGGACGAAGTTCAACGTCAATCGGTGTTGAATAACAGTCAGTTTGCTTCGACACAAAGACAAAAGAGTCGTGTTTTCTGGTCGTCTGACGGTAAGCGTAGGGAGGGAGGAGGTTTTTATTTTAGTCGTCGTACTGGTAGCCGTCGAACTCGTCCCCCCCGTTGTTGTTGTTGTGGGCCTCGGTGGGGTTGGTGCAGTACTTGTTGTCGTAGACTTGGCGCGGCAGACCGTAGGACGTCATGCCCTGCTGCGACGCCACCTTGTTGGTGCCCATCTGCAGCGAGATGGTGGAGCTGTCGCAGGACTCCAGATCCAGCTTCTTGTTGAAGATGAGCCTCCGTGTGCCCGGAGCCGTCATACCAGCCTGGAGGAGAGAGAGAAAGCAAGATGGAGGAGACAGGTGATGTAAACGTGATTTAACAAATGATTAATTGTGATATAATCATGATTTTAATCTTAATCAAAATAATGGTGATTATCATTTTGGCCTTGATTGTGCAGGGTAATGTGTATTCAGAGAATCGAAAGAACAAAAATCGATCTAACATAAAAACATCAGTCCCCATCCTCACCTGGCTGGCCCCCTTGTTGGTGCCCATCTGCAGGCTGATTGTTGATTGGTCGAGAGGACTTTCCATCGCCATCTTGGAGTCGTACAGATGGCGCCGTGTGCCGTAAGACGTCATGCCTTTCTGACTGGCCAGCTTGTTGGTGCCCATCTGAGAAACAGCAAGATAAAGTACATGAAATGACTGAAAACACAATGTTGGTATGAGGACATTGTTATATTCATATTGGATTAACCTTCAAATTTGTTTTCTCAATTTATTGTCGACACAATCATCCAGAGTCCAAAGGAACACTTTGACATTGCTTTGTGTTGTGAAAATAGTGAATGTCCTCTTCCAACATGAGACTAACATGCTAACAAAGGACGTAGTTGATAAGGACTTGTCACAGGAAGTACGACTTATAGGTTCTCTCCCTCAAGGTGTCAGTGTTCTACCTCCTTATCTTCCGTCATAAGGTTACAAATGAAGTCTAATACGAGGTGCAGTCTTTACTCGTACGACAGTATACAGAGCTACGTTAGGTATCTCCGACTTAGTAGTTACGATATTAGTTGTTGATCGTTAGTCATCGGGAGTTTGTCAGGACTACGAGAAGAATCCATTAAGTGTGTCAGGCAGTCCAAGTGTCGATG